CACACACACACACACACACACACACACACACACACACACACACACACCACTCAGGTTAACACACGCACACAAGGAAGAAGAAATAAGAAAGGAGGAGAGGGAGGGAGGGAGAAAGATCTCTTTAGACTTGTTTCTAGATTTTTATTTTCTGGGTATTTTATTATTATTATTAATTAAATTTATTCACTTTGTAACCCGGTTGTAGCCCCCCTCCCTTGTCTCCTCCCAGTGATCCCTCCTTCCCTCTTATCTCCTATTCCCCTCCCCGAGTCCACTAATAGAGGAGGTCGTCCTCCCCTTCCATCTGACCCTAGCCTATCAGGTCTTATCAGGTCTGGCTGCATTGTCTTCCTCTGTGGCCTGGCAAAGCTGCACCCACCAGGGGGAGGTGAACAAAAAGCCAGCCACTGAGTACATGTCAGAGAGAGCTCCTGCTCCCCTTACTAGAGAACCCACTTGGAACCTGAGAAACCTATGGCTTCCTCTGAGCAGGGGGTCTGGGTCCTCTCCATGCACAGTCCTTGGGCAGAGTACTGGTCTCTGCAGAACCCCCTGGGCCCAGGAGTTTTGGCTTTGTTGATCATCTTGTGGAGCTCCTGTCCCCTCCAGGTCTTTCTCTCTCCCCCTTCTTTCATAAGATTCCCTGCACTCTGCCCAAAGCTTGGCTATGAGTCTCAGCATCTGCTTTGACACCCTGCTGGGTAGAGTCTTTCAGTGGCCCTCTGTGGTAGGCTCCTGTCCTATTCGCTGTTTTCTCCCTCTTTCGATGTCCATCTTACCCAGGGTCCTCCTTCTTATTTAGCTTCATTAGGTGTACAGATATTAGTATGTTTATCCTATGTTATATGTGTAATATCCACTTTGAGTATACCATGTGTGGCTTTCTGTTTCTGGGCTACTTCACTCAGGACGTTTCTAGATTTTTAAGCATCAAGCTTTTCATCTGGGGCTGGACAGATGAGTTACTGCCAAGGCAAAAGTGTGAAGATTGCAGATTATATACATGCAGACTGCACACAAAAGCTGGGTGGCCAAAGCAATCCCAGAGCACTGGAGGCAGACAGGTGTCCCTGGACAAGGTGGCTAGCCAGATTAGCCAAAGCACCAATCTCCAGGTTCAACACAAATCCTGCCTCAATACAGGGTAAACAGTGATGGAAGACATCCAGTGTCAACTTCAGTCTTCCATATATGCCTACATACATGTAAATACATTCATATCCATCTCTAGCGCACACACACGAAAAAAGGTTTTCATTTACTCTGATATCTACACTTGCCCTACTTAAAAAAGATACTAGAGATTAAGGATGGCAGATAGCAATGGGAATTACAGAATACCAAGTAACACCACGAATTACAGAATACAGAACTTCAATGAATTAGAACATTTTAGTACATTTATATACATATTCATGTGTATATTTTTCGATGTTATATTTAAGGTGAGTTTTTTTTTTATCTGAGAAGCTTATTCTAGGCTAAAATTCTTGGTGACATTATTCCTACGAGCATGTTCTGTACAACAAATTTGAACCTTAGACCTGCAAAATAATTTAATAATGTTCTTTTTGAGTTTTGAATGCTTTCGTATGTGCTGGGTAACCTAGAAACCGTGTACATGTACCTGGCAGGGCACATACTCAGAAAGACCTGGGAAGACCACAAGCTTCAGTACTGGATCTTCAGGGTTAGTGTTAATCCGGAGAGAAAGAGAAGTCAGAATATTAAAAATCTTGGGTAAACTCAAAGAGGGCTCTAAAACAAGTCAGTCACAAGATCTGAAGAATTAATATGTATTTATCATGTAATACTTAAGTTGTCTTTTTTTTTTTTTTTTTGCCACTGTAACCTTCAAAATGTCTAATTTCATTCAACACCCAGGAAAAAAATATGTGAAAAGAAACATACTAACATACACCCAGGTGAAATTTCAAAACTGTAATGACAAATATGTCTTGGAGTTTACAGAAAAACAAATAAAAATGTTTCCTGTCACGATGATAATGGACTTACATCTGAAACTCAGGCAAGCTGCAGCTAAATGCTTTATAAGTTGCCTTGGTCATGGTGTCTCTTTAGACTAACAGAAGAATAACTAAGAACCAACATGTGAGAGGTAGAAGCAAGAGGAGGCATTCAGTCATCCTCTGCTATGTAGAGAGTTTGAGGGCAGTCTGGGCTTAATGAGATCCTGTCTCAAAATAAAAATTAAAAAAGGAAATAAAATGATAAAAATATAAAACAATGGAGGGTCTGTGTGAGAAGGTTGGTGGGTAAGGACACTATTTAGGTAAGCTTGACAACCTGAGTTCTGAGTTCAGTCCTTAACACCCATGTAAAGAAAGGCTCAATGTCATGTATGTACAATCCCACCACTTGTACTGTGAGATAGTTGATAGACAAAACTGACTAGAAGCTCAGGGGCTAGGTACTCTAAGAGTAAGGAGTGTGGCAGAAATAAAAAGAGGGACTGCCAAATTGTCCTTTGACCCCCAAATGTGCAACTCACCTGCTCTAACAATAGAGTAAAACATGGAGTAACAATGGAAAAGAAACTGGAGTACACTGAGTTTTCATTATGAAGAGCAGAGGCTGGAGGGTATCTTTTCACCTTTGAAAACATTGCTCTGCTGATTATTACTCATGTGTGATCCTAACATGCAAAGCATTTTCTTTTTGGTTGTTTTTTTTTTTTTTTTTTTTTTTTGAGGCCGGGTTTCTCTGTGTAGCCCTGGCTGTCCTGGACATGCTTTGTTGACCGGGCTGGCCTCAAACTCACAGAGATCCACCTGCCTCTGCCTCCCTGAGTGCTGGGATTACAGGCGTTGGACACCATGCCTGGCTGCAAAGTTTTTAAACATGCAATAATTGTAATGTTTACCACCTAACACATACAGTAATACAATTATTTAAATGGAACTTTATCAAAAGAAGAAAATTATTAATAAGTAAAAGAAAGACATAAGATTTTTTTAAAAATGCTGTTTCTGAGTAGAACCTAGACAGATGACAAGAAACTAGGGAATCCACCACATGGTGACTTTTTCTTTCTTTCTTTCTTTTCCTTTTTTTTTTAAGATTTATTTAGTTACTTATACAGTGCTCTGTTTTCATGCACGCCAGAAGAGGGAACCAGATCTCACTATAGATGTTGTGAGCCACCATGTGGTTGCTGTGAACAGAACTCAGGACCTCTGGAAGAGCAGCCAGTGCTTCTTAACTGCTGAGCCACCTCTCCAGCCCCATGGCTGGTGTTTTTTTAAAATAAGCTTTCCCAAATGGCAAGAGCTTAAAGCAATGCCCATAGTATGTGTGGTTCCTAAAACTCTAAGCTCAATATTTTGCTGTACAGGAAATGTTTACATAAACACAATTTTGATGTTTTTACTGAATTTGACTTTTTAGATGAGGTTGGTTATATATCCACCTCTACTCCCTCCCACCCAACACATCTTTGACAGTGTTTTACACTGAAGCCCAGGCTGGCCTCAGCCCCATGGTGGGGTGCAGCCATGAATCACCAGAGCTAGGTGGCTTCTATTTTTTGCTTCAAGAACATTTAGACTTGTCTACTTTTGGTCGGAAGTCCTCATTTTCTTACCAAGCTGTTTTCTTTCCAGGCCTCTGGGAACTTGGGCCTCTGCTTCTCTCTCGACACAAGAACCTGCATGTCCTCAAACGTGGGGTGGTTCCCAACCTCTGTCTGAAATGCCATCTGGTACTCTGGTACAGACTCACCTGTGTATTTAAAGAAAAGAATGATAGAATTTCTAATTATCTTAGAAGACAGAAGAGCAGAGGTAATTTTAGTATCAAATAAGCAGAGAAATCATATGTATTAAACACTTTCAAGAATATATGCAAGCCGGGCACGGTGGCGCATGCCTGTAATCCTAGCACTCAGGGAGGCAGAGGCAGGTGGATCTCTGTGAGTTTGAAACCAACCTGGTCTACAAAGTGAGTCCAGGACAGCCAAGGCTGCACAGAGAAACCCTGTCTCAGAAAACAAAAGAATATATGCAAATTTCAGAGACATTGTTGATTTGATGTATTGTGACTATTTAGAAGTCTCAAATTTTAATGATAAATCAAACAGTGGTTTCAATGCTTTTATTTATTCTTTAGTGTTGGGGATCAAACTCAGGGCCTTGCTAAGTACACACTAAGTACTTACTTAGTACTAAGTATGAACATGTTAGCTACATACTTTACACGGAGTCCTGGACAGCTTTTTCTTTTTCCCTGAGACAGGGTTTCTCTGTGTAGCCCTGGCTGTCCTGGATTTGCTTTGTAGACCACACTGGCCTCGAACTTTCAGAGATCTGCCTGCCTCTGCCCTTCCAAGTGCTGGTATTAAAGGTGTGAGCCATCACACCTGGTTAGAGACACTCTTTTTTTTTTTTTTTTTTTTTTTTTTTTTTTACCACGGAGCTGTATCAGGCTAGACAGGTATTTTAAAATGGGTTTGACTGCTATTAAATTTAGGAGGAGAAAATAGTCTAAGGAATAACTTAAAATTATGTCTGAACTCTAATCTTGTATTAGAAAATTAAGAAAAAAGCAGGATTTAGTACAATAACATGGAAGCAAAGAGGAAAGACTGAACCAAAGAGGAAAGACTGAACAACCACCAGGCCTTATTAGGTTATCGGCTCTATTCTAGTTCAGCCAGGACGCATCAAATATCATTATTTTTATGTTTTGTTTTGCTTTTGGAGATAGGGTCTCCGGTGTGCCAGGCTAGCCTCATATTTCTTATGTAGCCAAGAGTGGCTCTGAACCAGACCCTCCTGCTGCTACCTTCTAAGGGCTTGGGTTCCAGGTGCACACTACCACACTGGGTTGCAGAGCTGGGAACTAAATAAACTCTGGATTTCGTACGTGCTATGTGGCGCTGTACCAGAGGAGCTATATCCCTAAGTGAGTCCTATATACAAAATTTTATGACAGGACCATGTATGTCACTGTTTAATTTTCCTTGTAACAAGCAATATTTAAATCTAGAATTTAAAAGCATCACTAACTATCCTATCAGTGTTTGACAACTGTGTGTGTAACCAATAGGTACAAATTAGCTGCTTACAATGAAATACTGCTGATTTACAAAATGTGAGAAAGTGTATTAATAAACATACAGAGCCAGGCAGAATAGCCCTTAGGACTAATAAATAAAAATTCAATGGCCTAGAGCAGTGGTTCTCAACCTTCCTAATGGTACGTTCCTTATATTGGTGACTCTAACCATAAACTTACTTTCATTGCTACTTTTTAACTGTAATTTTGCTACTGTTGTATTTTTGGAGATACAGGTTTGGGGGTCACAAACCACAGGCTGAGAACTGCTAGCCTAGAGGCCTCTTGGCAAAGAACACAGAGAACTATAGTCTTCCTGGCTCCCCATCACTATTCTAACATACTAAAATAACAAGATAGATTAGAAGGGATGGCAGTTAGGGCATTCTGTTCTAATCTTGGCTTCACCTTTTCCTTGGAAAATTCACATAACTCTTGTGTGTTCAATCTTCCTGTTAGCAAAATAGTAATGTCTGCCTTTCTTATCTCACTGGCACAATAATAAAAGTTATAATGACCCAGATGAGAAAAAAAAAAACAAAACTCCATAAAACACAAGCTTTTGTTTCTATTTGAATATTCAAAACAATTCTTGCCTCATCAATATTTTTAATAATTTTAACAATTTACAAAAATTAATTGTATGTTTTTATAGTCTATGCAGCAGAGCCCAAGTTATTAGAACACTGAATTACATTTAAAAACAGGTGACATTACTGCATGTTTTTAAGATTAAAGCGAATCAATATCAACATTGAACTCTAAGACAAAACTAAAGGATTTAAAGATGCTGGTTTGTTCCTTGAAACCTACCTCAGAGAACCAATTTCAACTCGTTACCTGAACTGTTATTTACTAGCATCTCTGACCTGCCTCTGCATGATACATGTGCATACTTCCCAGTTATTTGTTAGTTTTCCTCCCACCAAATGTTACATTAGCAGAGTTTAAAAGTTAACAAGCTATTGTTTTACTAAGATCACTTAAATTCTAACTTCAAAGCTTACTGTAAGACATTAGTGCATGATTCTGTGTTGACGCAGTGGCACTAAGAACCTACAAAGAGGCTGAGAGACAGCTCGTCTGGACCCTGCCTGCCACGCACACGGGGCCCTGGGTTAGGTAGCGAGCATGGTGCTATGACCGGCACTGGAGAGGCAGAGAGGGGCAGACTGCTGGAGCCCCACACCCAGCCAGCCCAGCTTCACCAGCATACCCAAGCCACAGTGAGGACCCTGCTTCAAACAATGAGAATGGCTTCTAAGGAATGACACCAGAGTTTGACCTCTGGTTCTGCATGCACAGGCACACATGTATGTATACACATACACATACACACACACACACACACACACACACACACACACACACACACACACACACTCATCAAAGAAAATTCCACTAAATATTCATGGTTCTAAATCTAGGTTTTCAAAAGACACTTATTTGGAGCCAACTCTATTAATACATGTGGACACACAGATGTTAATCTCCCATCATGATGGGAGATACTAACCTTAACAGATTTTCCTAAAACTTTATAGTCACTGGATTGCTTAAGAGAAGTCCTATAATCTCATTTTCTTTTAAACTGTTAAGAAGAGATCAAATATTTGACCCTATCATTTGACATTCCTTTTCTGTTACCTCATCTGGATGGGTTAAGTGTCTCCTTTATTGAAGCATTTTTGCTCCCTTCTCAAATGACATTTATTCCTTTTCTTCTCTTCTTTCTCTTGTATTTTTTTAAAATTTCTTCCTTCATTTAAATACTGTAGCATTTTACTCTTTCCTCATGCTAAGACACGTAATTCACTTATTTTATAAGTATTTTATAGAATCAACCTTCATTACATGTTTTAATTCAACATTAAAACATATGTTGTAGGGGCTGGAGAGATGGCTCAGTGGTTAAGGGCATTGTCTGTTCTTGCAAAGGTCCTAAGTTCAGTTCCCAGCAACCACATCTACACTGGGATCTGATGCCCTCTTCTGGCATGCACATGACCTGCAGATAGAGTATTCATATATGTAAAATAAATCTTGAAAATTTTGCATTTTGAGATAAAATAAAAAAGTTTGTATAATTATTATATAATACTCTAGGTTTTAAAAATAATTTTTAAATTTTATTTTATGTGTTTGAGTGTTTTGCTTGCTTGTATGTACATGTACTCTATGTATGTGTTGGGTGTCTGCAGAAGCTAGAAGAGGGCATTAACCCTGAACGGTGGCTCAAAACTCTGTAATTCAAGTCTCAGGTGATCTGATACCCTGTTCTGCATATGCAGCAAACATACATGCAGCCAAAACACTCCTTCATACACATAATAAAAACACATGACTTTTAAAAGGTTTGAAAAGTACGCTGTATACCCTGCTTGTGATTTCTTAATACTTTTCTCATATTCTCTGTCATATAGCTTGTCTTCTTGATTTAACAGAAGCTCCTCTTATTCAAGTAATAATCATAATCATAATCATTTCTAAAGTCAGGCGTGGTGACTCACACCTTTAATCCCAGCATTCAGGATGCAGATGCAAGTCTCTGAGTTTGAGGACAGCCTTGTCTACAGAGGGAGTTCCAGGACAGCCAGGGCTACAGAGAGAAACCCTGTCCCATTCCTCAGTTCTACCTGCTCACCACTTTTCAATTACATTTACTGTCGTTTGGTGTTTGTTGCCCAGTGTCTCACTATATGTAGCCCATGCTGGCTTCAAATCCAGTTCTGCTTGCCCCAAGCGTCCCTGTCCTCCTGCTCCTATCTTCTGGCTGCTGACATTCCATGTCTGCCCAAGTCATTAACTTCAGACACTGGTTTTAAAAAATCCTCACCATTTTCCTAAACACTAATCTTCCTAATTAATCTGCTTACTGAGAGAATACCTGGATTTTCAGTCTTAACCATTTGTCCTCCACTTCTCATCAATGTGTCTCTGTGGAGCACGGGACTCAAAGCCCCACCCATACGAGGCAAAACCTCTACATACTGGAGCTACAGCTCAGCTTTCATTTAACCAATTTCATCTTAACCTTCATTTTATCTTAATCATATATGTATATGTACACATAAACATGTATACAACTGGTTAGTTTTATTGTTGTTTTAAGACAAGGTTTCTCTGTGTAGCCCTGTCTGTCCTGGAACTAGCTCTAAGAACCAGGCTGGTCTCGAACTCAGAGACCTAGCTGCCTCTGCCTCCCAGTTGTTGGGATTAAAAGAGTGTGACACTACACCCAACTCAGTGTATTTTTTTTTTGTCTTAAATGCTGTAAGAATAGGCCTGGGGAGATGGCTCAGTGAGTAAAGTGCTTGCCTTGAAAGTATGCGGACCTGAGTTTGGCTCCCTAGAATGCACCCCCTCACCCTGGTCAACAATAACAACAACAAAATGAGGGGTGTGGTGACATACAAGACTGCAATTCCAGCAATGGCAAGAGGGAGGCAGAGACAGACTGATCCCTGATAGCCAGTCTAGACTACTTGGTAAAGTTCCAATAATGTCATATATTATGACTCATCAAAGGATGAATCCAAGGATGTTCACTACATTATAGCTCTCATGATGTAAGCATGTCTAGAGAAGCCCTCACAGATAGCTCAGAATGTCTGCTCTCCTAGGAACTTCTTAATCCAACCATGTTGATGATCAAGATTAGCTAACCATCACAATACCTATAATCTTGCCATCAATGTGAGTAAGAAAAACACAGTAAGAATAAATTCAAAGAAGGAATCTGTTTCTAAAGAAGTTATCCAGAAGTCTGAGAAATAGTGAGATAGCAGCAAGGAACCTAAAAGAAATGTTGTTCAAGTCAGAAGAATGATTTCATTACAGAGTTTTTTGAAATGGAATATTGATAGGTAACTAAGAATTTACTATTTTATTTATTTAAAGATTTATTTATTTACTCTTACTGTCTCTAGACATGCTTACATCATGAGAGCTATAATGTAATGAACATCCCTTGGATTCATCCTTTGATGAGTCATAATATATGACATTATTGGAAGGTAGTAAAATGTGTGGTGGGACCAGTAAGAGGAAGTAGGTTGTGGGAGGGCAATACCTGGGGTTATATATATTGCCTGAACTATTCCTGTTTCCCATGAAGAAGCTCCCAAAACGATTATGATGCTCTGCCCACACCCCAGGGCTAAGCAATTACTTCCTTTGTTTTTCTCAGGTGTTTGTACAGTGGTAGTAAAGTACGATAAGTATCTCCATGTAATCCTCTTATTCTTTTTTATTGTTGCAAAATAATACCTAATACAAAAAGTCTATTATTTTAGTCATTTTTGAGTGTACAGCTCTGTAGCATTAAATACAGTTCCCACTATGCATCTATTGCCATTATCCATGTCTAGAATTCATCATGTTCAGACTCTACTCATTAAACAAAAAAATTTATCTCTGAAATTTTACCTTTTATAACCCTTTCTGTTTGATTTATTAGTTTTTTTGTTTTGTTTGTTTTTCAAGACAGGGTTTTTCTGTGTATATATATTTGCTTTTAAAGAGAGTATACAAAGTAATGGGCTGCTGCCACTGCCTCCTTCTCTTCCTTCTTTGTTCTGTTTCAAATCAGGGTCTCACTAGCAGCTCTGACTGTCCTGGGCTCCCTGTGGAGACTAGGCTGACCTCTTAGGTTGCAGAGATCCACTACACCTGACAGTAATGGCTTTCCTAATGGCTTCCATACATACTTTGCTCTCACATTTATCTCACTCTTCCCTCCCCCATCAACTTGCTTTCCACTGACTTCACCTCCTGGTCCCTATGTTTACTTTGCATGTACCTTATTATTCCTCTCCTTTTTTCTCCCTCCTTATCTTGAGATCTCTTCCTCTTGTGGTCCCCTTTCTAGTTTCAAAACCTAAACCCACACCTGACCCCGTAAGTAAAAATTAGTATTTAGAATTATGTGTACGAGAGAAAAAAAAAAAAAACCATATAATGTTTGTCTGAGATGGCTTATTTTACATAATATAATCATTTCCAGAGTCATCCATTTCTTGTTAGTGCCATGACTTCATTTTTCTTCATGGCTGAATAAAATTCCATCACATGCACGCACCCACACTTTCTTTCTTGTTTTTCTTTTCTTTTTCTTGTTTTTTTTTTCAAGACTGGCCCTTACTGTCCCGGAACTCACTCTGTAGACCAGGCTGGCCTCAAACTCAGAAATCTGCCTGCCTCTGCCTCCAAAATGCTGGGCCATATAGAAGGAATCTTTTGTTACTCAATTTTTTTATTTTTGTGTGTATGTATATGTGTGTGCCCATTTCATACAAGTTTGTAGAGTTTCTACCTCCATTTTTCTGGAGATTGACCTCAGGTCATTAGATCTGTGCAGCAGGAGCCTTCACCAACTGAACCGTCCTGTCATCCCATATGGTAGTTCCATTTCTAGGTTTCAAAGAAACTTCCATGTTGATTTCTATAGTGCCTGTGACAATTTACTCCCACCAGCAGTGATAATCCATCCTATATGTTTATTTATTTACTTACACACATATACATGTGAAGGGCAGAGGTGGTCACCAGATGTCTTCCTTGATTGCTCTTTCTTTGCCTTTTGAGACAAGGTCTCTCACTGCAACCTGCAGCTTACAGATCCAGTTAGGCTGGCTGGCCATGGATTGCCAGGAATCCATTTGTTTCTACCTCCTCAGCACTGGTACTAGAGGCACACAGCAGTGGGCACAGCTTTTTACATGGGTACTAGCATCTGAACCCTCATGTTTGTACAGCAAGCACTTTAGTCTCTGAGCCATCTTCCCAGCCACCAGAAGCATGTTTGTTTGTTTGTTTGTTTTGAAAGTACTACAATTAAAGGATGACTGTTGCTTCTGTTCTAATAAGTAACAAACAGCACTGTTAGTGGTTGGGGGATGGCGGGGTGGTAAAATGCCAGCCTCCAATGTGCAAAGGCCTTGGGTTTAATCCCCACAAAAGGGATTTAAAACTCCTCAATTTTCTAAGTAGGCAGGCAGTTTAGTCTTGTTTGCAGATCTGAACAGAAGGCTGCATTACAATGTTTTTTTAAAAAAAAAAAAGTGTGCCAAAATCCCAGTTGACAATTACTGCTATTTTCAGAAAAAATATCTTGATTAACTCTCTGTACTTCTAATTTATGAAACGTAATTTTTTTAATAATTTATTTTTAATTTTATTTTTTGTGCATTAGCATGAAGGTGTCAGATCCCCTGGAAGTGTTGTTACAGATAGCTGTGAGCGGTCATTGTGGGTGCTGGGAATTGTACCCAGGTCCTTTGGAAGAGCAGACAGTGCTCTCAACCACTGAGCCATCTCCAGCCCCTCTGAAACATAATTTAAAAATATTTGTTTTTATTATTTCTGATTGTGTGTCTGTGTATAGGTATGTGAATGTGAGTACAGGTGTCCAAATAGGCCAATGGGGTTATTAGAGCCTCCTGGAGTTACAGAAAGTTGTGAGCCATCTGAGATGGTCCTCTTGTAGAGCATGCTCTTAGCTACTGTGCCTTCTCTCCAGGCCTCAGAAAACATACTTTTATTTATGAAAGTAGAAATTAGCTGACCTATAGTAAGCTCAATAAGTATCAGTTCATTTCACTGTATTAGAATTATAAACTAATTTTATGTGTGTCTGTGTATGCCATGTGTATGTTGGTATTTGAGGAAGCCAGGGCCCCCTGAGGGGGGGCTGGGGCTATTACTGGAGGGCTGAGGACCTATTACTGGAATGAAACTACTCAGATAAAAACATAGAGCAGTTTTTTAATAAAAAAAAAAACTTTCTGATTTACTCTGTTCTGTTAATAAAATTTCCATTCTGAATATTCAATATTCAGATGGCAATGAACTGAAAGTTTGAAGGAAAAAAGATTATTGAATCCAACTGAGTTGTTGAATGTAAGTGAGAAAAAAAATACAATTGTATCACTTCAAAAATCTGATAAATCGGGGCTGGAGAGATGGCTCAGAGATTAAGAGCACTAGCTGTTCTTCCAAAGGTCCTGAGTTCAAGTCCCAGCAACCACATGGTGGCTCATAATCATCTGCAATGAGATCTGGTGCCCTCATCTGGCAGGCAGAATACTGTATAAATAATAAATAAATAATTCTTAAAAAAAATATGATAACTCTACCAGCAGTTCTTACCAGGGAAGAGGTCTGTACATCTCATGAACACCTCCCAGTAGATGAGTCCAAGCGCATACATGTCTACCTGCTTCAGGGCTGACTCACAGTCCCTCAGGTTCACAGCTCCTTCCAGCACTTCTGGTGCCATATAGCGAATTGTGCCAACCTGGTATAGTAAGAGTGGTTGTTTAAAGAAATAGAATGTAACATATCATGAAGGGCAAACATCAGATCAAAAATCATATGTCAAATTCACTCTTACTAGTGCTATTATTTGACCCTAAGAGGTGACTGAGCCCTCTCTACACAACACATTAAAAAAATCTCTCCCCTCTTAATAATTAAACGGTATTAAATCTGCTTCAGTAAAAAATACTCACTGATAAGAAAGAATAGAGTAATTGTTCTTACGCCAAGTTTTAAAACTCCATGAGCCTGCAGGCTGCTCCCCAGCTGACTGCCTTATCACTGCCCACCTTTGCAGTATAGACAATAATGCAAGAAAAAAACTATCAAGCATGGTGAGAAAATTGCAAATCAATATGTACATCATTTAACATTTTTAAAAACTGCAAATATGTTTATATATGAAGATCTGTGTGTGAAAGCATAGAAAAGGGTCAGAAAGGATATACATTAACATTGTAATCAGAGAGCAAACTTGGTAACCTTACTCTTGCTTCAAAAATCAATTCCTGGCTGGATCTGGTAGCACTTGCCTAAAATCTCAGCCCTCAGAGGAGAATAGTTATTCAAGGCCAAATTGGGCTATATAAAGAGAATCTGTCTCAAAAACAAAACAAAAATCAACCAACTAAAAAAAAAAAATAATCAAAAAGAAAAAACCCAACAAAACAAAAACAGACAATCTAATTATGTTCCCTTTTAAAACACCAAAAAAATCAATTCCATGATACTTGTCCATAATGTCTGTTTAAATGAGCTGAAGTTTTCATTTTCAAAATGAACTGACAGCTTTACCAAATACAATGTTGGTGTTTCCTAATTTCCTAACTTTACCAGTCTGCAGCTGACAGTGCACAGGAATAACCGTTGTGTTGTGATGCTCATGTACTCACCTCACTGATAGCCGCGTTATCTTCCTCCCCTGGGCGCACCAGCCTATTTCCTGTCAGCCTCATGGACAAGCCAAAGTCACTAATAACACACGTGCCATCATTTTTGACCAGGACGTTTCTGCTGTTTAAGTCTCGATGGGAAATTGCAGGTTTATAATGATCTGTTTGGGTAATTTTAAATACTTATTAATGCTTAGATAGAACTATTGGAAATTAAATTAACATACAGATAATGGGAACTATATAGTGCTATTTTTCCACCTGTTACTTGTTTAAAAAAGCGAGGGGGGAGGAAAAGAAAGCTAGTTTTCAAGACACATGCCTAAAATCTAGCACATGGCCTGCAGCAGCAAGATCACAAGTTTGAGACTAACATAAATGACAGAGCAAGACTTCAAGTCAAACCAAGCCAAACCTCACAATTTCAACATATCACTATTTTCTAAAAACTCCTCTTATAAATACAGTTAGCAAGCACTAAACATTCAACTGACTCTAACAGTAAATACTTCTAACTCTAGTACAAACTTGTTTTTCTCTTCATTTCTTTTTTGTTTTGTGTTCACTGTTGTGGTTGGTTGATTAGGAGGTTGGCTAATTTTTTTCAGACAGGGTTTCATGTAAACCAGGCTGAGGATTACCTTGCACTTCTGATTCTCCTGCCTCTACCTCAAAAGTGATTTAATTACAGGTTGGTGCTACCATGCCTGGCTTTCTCTTCATTTCTAAAGCACAAAAGGAGGCAATACCAAAAGGAATAGTTGTTATATATTTAGAACAGGTATCAATTGAGAAACTAAGGCTCAGCTTTCTTAAACCAAAATAATTTTTAACTACTTCTAAATGCTTATCCTTCTACCCACAGATAAGTGTAGCTATTACTCATCATCAAATGCTTCTTTTTGTAGCGGATGGAGACCATTACAGAAAGCCACAACTGGTCAAATGTGGAGAACAACTCACTATGAGGTGTCTAGCTCCAATGACATACATGCACAACACAACACCCACACCTACGACTCAGAACATCAAAGAAGGGGTGAATACACCACAAGAGCCAGAGCCCCAGACACCTGGGAAGGGACTGTCTTCTGTACAGGACATGGAAGCTGTACTCATGAAATCTCAACCTGTCTCAAACAAATGAACAACAACAACAACAACAAAAATTGAATAGAGGCTGGAGAGAGGTCTTGAAGAGGACCAGGTTTGCTTTCCAGCATGCACATGGTGACTTACAACCATCTGTAACCTCTGCAAGCACCAGGCACATATATAGTATACGTGCATACATACATGTAGGTGAAAACATCCATACATGTAAAAATTAAATGTAATTTAAAAAATGTTTGACACAGGGTCTCTCCCTGAGCCTGACGCCATTTCAGCTGGACCGCCGGCTCTGCCCCACACCTCTTGCTGCTCCTCACCCTGAGGTGACACAGACACTGCAGTAGCCAGCGCTTTCTGTGGGCTCTGAGGACGGAGTCAGGAAGTACTCGGCACAGAAGGTCCCCAGCCCAACAGGACACTTTAAATATTTTGAAATAATATATTAAGGAATATGTTTGAAGTTAACTAGGCAAAACTATAAACTAAGACATATATGATATTTATATAATTTTTTAATGAAAACTAGTACTATGATTAGCTAGTGTTTGAGAAAAATACCTTTATTTAGGTAAAGAATTTCAGCCAGTGCTTGACTTAAAACCTTGCTGACTCATGCAAACCTTGAAAAGAGAACTAGGATGATATTTTAAATTCTGTTTTAAGCCAGCTTCTAAAAGGATTGTAATATTTAAAGTAAGGACACGGTCCAATGGCTAATGTGCTAACACTGGAGCAGGAGCATCCAGTTGCTGACACAGGCAATAACAGGTCAATCTTGTACTCTGGGAAAGATGTCAAGTAAATGAGCCAATAAATTATTCAGAAGCAATTATTTATATATGAAGTATCAGCTAGAAAAGATGATCCATGCTATTATATAATGGAACAACGATCTAAGAAACGGATACATTAAACTTCTCCTCACTAAAGAGGTCAGGGAGACTACAAGAACACTGACAGGTTACAGCATGACAAAATGTGGTACAGAGAGGGAAAACTTGAGAAAGCACAGAGACACGATTTTCACAGCCATGCTAATTCAGGGTGCTGTGATGCGAATATATATTGAAACAAAGTGAGAAGGCAAGTGTATTTAAAAGAGGTGCTCTGGACCGCCAGTAGAGCACTGGAAAGCTGAGGAAGACTGTAGCTGTAGCATTCTGCCTCCCGTTCTTATTAATAACAGAGCCCAACACTGTCCGAACAGCAATTCACTCAGCAAAAACAAAACAACCATATTTTTTTGGTCTCTATTAGGTAACAGTGGATTAACATGTGCACAAGAGCAACTTCTCGAGGTGGGGGTGGACAATTCCTTTTCCCCTCTTTTCCCCCCTGCTATCTAGAATACAGCACAATGGACAATGAAATAACTATGAAAATGAAAGTCATATGTAAAGGATGGCAGAGAAAAAGTACAGGGGCCTTGAGCCTAATATCCTCATGCTGCCAAACCAGTTCTCGACACTCCTTACGTTCTAGTTTTGTCTGCTGGTGGGCACACAACCAAGGGTCATGCATACTAGGCAAGTGTCTAGCACCGGCCTGTAATCTTCATCTCTTCAGTGTTTCCTCTTCCTTCTCCTCCTTTGCTGATACAGGTCTCACTATGTGCTCAAGGGTGGCTCAGAATCATCTGACACTCCAGAATGAACTTCAACCCACAATCCCGTTTCAGCCTCCTGGGTGTGAGGACTATAATAAGTATGTGATGTCTCACTTGGCCTCTCCAAATTTATTTTTAAAAAAAATAGTTTCGGGCTGGAGAGATGGCTCAGAGGTTAAGAGCACTGGCTGCTCTTTCAGAGGTCATGAGTTCAATTCCCAGCAACCACACGGTGGCTCACAACCATCTATAGTGAGATCTGGTATCCTCTTCTGGAGTACAGATTATAAATAATAAATAAATCTTAAAATAAAAAAAAAATAGTTTCACTATATAGTCTCAGTTGGCCTGGACCTTGTTCCATAGACTTAGGCTAGCCTTAAACTCATAGATCCACCAGCCTTTGCCTCCTGACTACTGGGATTAAAGGCAAGAGCCACTACCCTTGGCTCTCTTGAGATTCTTACATGTATATGAGAAAGAAAAAATATCTTTATTAATAAAGCCACTGTTATCTCCTTCCTCCTCTGTCTCTAGCTGAACATTTATTTATAAAAAGATGTTTGAGAATTATAGCTTATGAAATAAAGATCCATGTAATATTAAACTAATGCACTTATTTATACACATAAACAAAATAAATACAAGGAAAATACAGCCTTGATACGAGTATTAACCTAACGTTCACAAACAGTCTGAAAGGTCTGAAAACCCTTTAGAATTTTTCTTGTCTGGTCCTATGATATGAGGAATCAAATGTAGGGCCTTACATATGCTGAAGAAGCATTATACACTGAGATGCACTCTACCACAAATAATTTTTTCTAAAAATGGCTATATGTATATTTTTAGAAAGTCTTCAAATTCTTAATGAGATCCATGCTTCCTTTTCTTCCTGTCACATTCAAATGTTTCCTCATGCTGGATCTTTCAAACAACTAGTTAATACTCAAATTTTAATAATATAGATCATAGTTTTCTTCCAAAATATAATTAAATTTTTATTCTTCTTACCTCCCCGTGGTAATTCTGTGTGAAGATAAGCCAGTCCTCTGGTCACAGAATGAGCCAGACGGCAAGAGCTCACCCAGTCACTTGTGTGGAGACTCAGATATTTGCACAGAGATCCCTGTATAAAAGAATCAGTATACCAAAAGAATGAAACGAATTTGCTTCGAAAGGAAGAGGTAAGTTAGGCAATCTTATGAAGAACTTGCATAGGGTAGAATTCCACAACTATCTAATGATATTGACACAATATCCCTGAAAAGAAAAGAGAGAGAGGGTGTGCCGGCTAGCTTTATGTAAGCAACACAAGCTACAGTCACCTGAGAAGGGCTTCAACTGAGAAAATGCCTCCATAAGATCAGGCTGCGGGCAATGCCCAAAGGACACATACACGGGACACACATGCACCAAACAAAACAACAAAAGAAGCCAAATCAGTAGGCCACATCTTTAATCCCAGATCTCTATGATTATGATGTTGGCCTGGTATGCACAGTGAGTTCCTGGACAGGGAGAGCTACATGTTAAGACCCTGCCTGGAAACAATAACAACAAGCGCTCCCCCATAAATACAAGGAAGCAAGCTGAGCAGGCCAGTCAGCAGCATTCCTTCATTAGCTCTGCAGCAGCTCCTGCCTCCAGGTTCCTGCAGGTCAGTTCCTGTCCCGACTTCCTTTCCTGAGAAACATGTGGAAAACTTAAGCCAAATAAACCCTTTCCTTCCAGACTTTCCCAAAAGGCCAGGGTGATTCATCACAGCAATATTACTCCTAACTAGAACAAGCAGAAAGAAGGAATTTGACTATCAATTCTTATGTTTCAAATATTAAAATTATGGGTGGTTATTTCCTTTTAAACACTTCTTTGGACTAATACTAATTAACCTGAAAATTTTTTTTGTTTTACCAAATTTTACAAACAATACTGTTATGGTTTATACAGAGAATACAATATGGCTTTTTTAAGTCTATAAGTTCTGTATACTCAAAGACTTCACATTCTAGGGTTCAACCAACTATATAAAGAACATTTAGGGACGGGATGTGGCTTAGTGGAAAAGTTCTTGCTTAGTATACCCAGACCCTGGTTTCTTCTCCAATGAAGTCAAGAAAAACAAATAATAACTCAAAGAGTAGTTGCATCTATACATAACATTACTTCTTGTCATTTACCCCAAACAGTATAACAACTATTAACACGGCATCCTCACTGCATAGTCAAGAACTGATATGCAAGAGTTATATGAAAAGCTGGGTGGTGGTAGCACACACTTGCACTGGGGGGGCGGTGGCTGGGGGGCAGAGGCAGGTGAATCTCTGTGAGTTCCAGGACGGCCAGGGCTACACAGAGAAACACTGTCTAAAAAAAAAAAAAAAAGAGTTCTATGCAAATGCTACATGGCATTTTTATAAAGGACTTGAAGAGCTGCCACCGTGTGTGTGTGTGTGTGTGTGTGTGTGTGTGTGTGTGTGTGTGTGTGTATGCGTGTGCAAGGTAGATGGAGGATACTAAGGGATGACTGTATATATATGGCTGTTCACCTCAAAATACTCATCCACAAATCATGATGAACTTCTCACGAGACAAGGAGCTTACAGAATTAATGTCAGTGAAAGGACTGCTAAGTCTGATGACAAAAGAAACAGAAAGAACTAAGCGTGGTGGCACATGCATTTAAGCTCAGCACTTGGGAGGCAGAGGCTGGGGGATCCCTGTGGGTTCAAGGCCAGCCTGGTCTACAGAGTGAGTCCAGGACAGCCAGAGCTCTTGCTACACAGAGAAACCCTGTCATGAAATGTTCCCCCCAGCCAAAAACAACAACAACAACAAAAATCCAGAGGGATAGAGAGAGAAAGTTAAAGAGAAGGGAAGAAGAAAGGGTAAGGAAGGGAAGGCATGAGGGAGGAATAGAAGGAGGAGAGAAGTGAAAGAAGAGAGATGAATAAAGAGAATTATTAGTGTTTTGTTATTCTTTAAGATAGGGCCTTACAATAATGGCCCAGGCTGGTATTATTCACAATACTCCTGCTTTAGCCTTCTTTTTGGGTACCAGGATTACAGGCATGTCCCATGATGCCTGGCTGAGTGATATATTTGATTCCAATTCTGCTGTCATTCTTTTTTCATTACAGAACACTAATAACAAGTTTATAAACAAGCAACACTAATAATCCTGAAAATCTGATCAAAGGTATAATACACGACAGTATCTTTTAAAGAGGAACTTACATTGGGGTAATACTCCATCACTAGCAAATACTCCATGCGTCCATCTGCAGTGAGCCTCTCGTCTCCAACAATAAAGCGAGCAATGTTGTCATGTTCCATCAAAGGCACTCTGTAAATGTTTTTTTCATTTATAAAATTCTGACGGTTTGCAAAAGAAAATACTTTTACAGCAACTGGACGCTCATCCAAGGAACCTTTATATACTGCTCCATATCGACCCCGTCCAATCAGCTGTAAGTTTGTTTTTAAAAAGGCAAGTTATTAATTTGTATTAAAATTGAACAATTAAATTTACTAAAACAAAAACAAAATAAACTACAATTGCCCAGGATATGCAGCAGCTCTCTTCTGTGTTCAGTTTATTCCATTACCAAGAAGCAACTAATAACGGTGTCTGGTATAACTGAGGAAGCTCCTACCTGACTGTCCTTCTAATAGATGAGAGCCAAACACCCTGGACAAGATTAAACGAGGGAAACCAGGGAAGGCCTAAACACATTAAAAGAGCAGCTAGAGTCTGAGGTATCCAGGCACAGAAGAAAGGAATGCATATGGTAAGCTACCAGCTTCTATGAGTTTTAGCTTGAAAGCAGACTGAAATCAGCTTCAGCAGTGGAACTAAAAACGGCATGAAAGGGTCTTTTGAAAAAGAGGATGCAATCTGTGGCAAATAGAGTTTCTAGAGAGTGAGGGAAGAAACCTCAAATGGAGAAAGCCAGAACAAGGGAGTTCAGTAATCACATGGGACAGATTCTAGCTAAATATACTAACTGAACTGAGACTTGAACTTCTGCCCAAGAGACTCATTTATAGTGTGTGTCCAAGCAAGTCAATTGCTCACAAAAACAAGTAACAAAAATCAGCACACAGGGCTGTTGAGACACTTAGTAGTCAGAGCAAACTAATCTCCCAGGGGATGGGTGCTGGGAACCACACCATCTCAGGTGCCTTACAGCTGCCTGTTAAGTCCAGTTCCAGGAGACCCAGTGTCCCTTCTTTCTGCACTCACATGCACCCACCCACACGGATAGACACACAGATATAATTAAACACATATAATTAAAATAAACCCTTTTTGAAGGCCAGCGCACATTAAAAATTAGCAAGAGTCTGAGGATTTCACAGTATAATACGCACAGTATCTAGGATAGAATAAAAATCTACTCCATGCATATAGAAACAGCAAAATTTTTGGCTTCTGGGGAATTTTCATTAAAACAAGCTGGGGATCTATCATCATTTCTTTTGTTGTTTTTCCTCTCTCTCTCTCTCTCTCTGGTTATTTTGAGACAGGGTTTCTCTGTGTTGGCTCAGCTATCCTGGAACTCACTCTGTAGACGAGGCTAACTCTCCAACTCACAGAGATCTGCTGCCTCTGCCTCCCGAGTGCTGGGACTAAAGGCGTGTACCATCACCATCCAGATATCATCATATCTTTATACATGTTTACTGCATCATTATTTTATTCTTTTGTTTTTGTTTTTTGAGACAAAGGTCTCAGTACGTACCTCTATGTCCTAAAACTCTCTATGAAGACCAGGCTGGTCTCAAACTCATGGAGATCTGCCTGCCTCTGCTTCTTGAGTGCTGGGATCAAAGGTGTGTGCCACCACGCTTAGTCTTATACCATTATTTCTAGGTAAAATTTAACATATAAAACAAAAACAGTCTTTTGAAAAAAAGTAGTATCAAAATACAGTTAAGCACATGCCTTTAGTCCCAGCACTTGGAAGGCAGAGGCAGGCCTCAAACTCTGTTGTGATTACATATACATATACATATACATATACATATACATATACATATACATATACATATACATATACATATACACATACACATACACATACACATACACATACACATACATACATACATATATATATATCCTAGGCAAAGCTCTGTGTTTCAGTTGGTACTTCTCCCAATGTCATAAGCTGCACATCATTTTAGACACACTTAAACCTTCTTCTTGTCCTTTTCCTCCATTTTTTTTAAAGGTGGGTTCTCACTATGTTGCCCTGCTGGTTGGCCTAGAACTTGCTGCACAGATCAGGCTGGCCTTGAACTTAAGGAAATGCTCTTGCTTCTGCTTCCTGACTGCTGGAATTACAAATGTGCCCCACCATGCCCAGAAAGACTTTCTAAATAGCTCCTGAGATATTGCCAGCTTAAACAGTATTAATTAGGCCAGTAGGTAATCATTAGAACAGTCAACACCTAGGCACAACTTTACCTCCAACAGCTTCAGGTTATCCAAGTCAAGAGAGGGCTCTGATGCTGCCGCTTCCATCATGTTCATACTGTGAAGACCTTGTTTTCGGTCTCCTGGAAGAATGAGAACACTTTCAAATATGTATCCTTTTTAAAATAGAAATGTACTTTTTTAATATTACAGTTGAAGACTAGAGAGATGGCTCAGTGGTTAAGAGGATTAGCTTCTCTTCCAGAAGACACAGGCTCATTTCCCGGCCCCACATGGCAGTTCACAGGTGTCTCTAACTCCAGTTTCAGGGGATATGATACCCTCACACAGGCATACATTCAGGCAAAACACCAATGCACACAAAATAAGAATAAATAAAATTTAAAATGTATTACAGTTAAGAAGAGCTGCAGAAGGGAATAAATCAATGAAGTAGAAATAATTTGATTAATGAAGATAAATAATGAACTGAGGGCAGAATTCTGTGAGATAATTCCATGATGACTCAGTTTAAAAGTATAAAATCCTAGCACTGAATTTTCAAAAAATTTCTAGGAGAATCATTTGAATGAATGAGTAAGTGCTGATTTCCTAAACAACCCATCACACCCAAAATTTATTAGAATTGACTAGATGCTTGATGAGAAATTACTGGCTTTTTCATATGTAAAAGTAGCATTAGGATTATATAGTATTTAAATTATATTACAGAGATATGCTATAGTATTTATAGATCTATGGTATCTGCATTTTGATTAAAATAATTCAGTGGTATGAAAGGAGTAGTAAGTGTGGGTTTAGATTTAAGTTTGCCTTTAGATTTAATATTGCCTTCACGTAATAACTGTGTGGCATTTGGGTGGCAGACATTTGGGGTAAGTTTAAGACTTCTAGTTAAGGCTGAAGAGATGGCTCAGATGTTAAGAGAACTTGCTGTTCTTTCAAAAGAGCTGAGCTCAGTTCCCACATCAGGTGTCTCACAAGCACCTGTAGCTCTACAAGATACACTGCCATCTTCCAGCCCCCAGGGACCACACACATGACATACATAGACATACAGACACACACAGACACAATCATAAAAATAAATTTTACAAAATTCTTCTAAAAACTGAGGGAAAATGTTTGTTGAGCGCAGAGTTTTTGTTTGTGCATAGATTTTCCACAGAGATTTTAAAAAGGAAACAACAGACTTGCAAAGATGGTTCGGTGGTAAAGACGTGGGGTTCCATGCCTAGAACCCACACAGAAGGAGAGAACCAACTCCTGCTAGTTATCGTCTGACTCCACACATGCACGACCCACCCCCTTTACACAGGAAATAAGAAAACACATAAATATAAAACAAAATCCAAGAAGATCATATGTTTACTAGCCGATGAGACAAAAAGTGGTATTTTTTTTTTACCTGTCAACATTCTGTATCCAAAACATAAGGCCACTATCAAAACAGCTAATACAGAAACTGATGCCAAAGCAATGATTACTGTTTCATCTCGATTAAGTGAATGAGGTGGACCTAAAAGAAAAAAAGAAAAGTATTTTATTTAATACTGACAAACTAGTCTTTAGGAAGGCTGTATTAATACATAGTCAATTCAGTACTATTTTTGTAAAAAAAATTGAGAAAAAATTAACCAATTTGTGATAGTTGTGACATTTTAAACACATAGATTATCTTATATAAACTTAAAATACTTGTCAAGTAAGTTTCTAATTATTAAAATTGAAGTAGGGGCTGGAAAGATGGCTCACTGACTCAGAGGATACACTGCTCTTTAAGAGAACCCAAGTCCTTTTCCCAGCATCCACATCATGCAGTTTACAGCCCCCTGTAACCCCAGCTCCATATGGTCTGACATCTTCTCTAGCCCGGGGGCATCTGCATTCACACACGTGCGTGCACGCGCGCACACACACACACACACACACACACACACACACACACACACACACAC